ATAGCTTTAAAGAGCTTCTGGTAATGGAAATAGAAGTTTGGGTAAGATAGGGAGTTAAGAAGGTCTGTAAATGTTTTCTTTCCACTTAAGCATCCATAGAGATACAAACATGAGCAGAAGTTCCTTATTATGTCAGAGTTCCATTTAAAAGCAGAACAGAGGATGTTTCTAGAACCAGGTGGAGATCCTGGATCTTGAAGTCAGCTGCAAATGCAGTTTCAGCATTCCAGAAGTGTTGTACCATGCTTCAAAACATTACTACCAGTGAAAGATCAGCTGTAGCTTTACTTACTTCCTCCTTCCACTCCTGTACACACTCCAGAAACATGGAAGAGGGCAGCCACGGGAGGCAGTTATGCCACAGTAGAGCTCTTCTATAAAACTGAATATTTGTATTTGTGTGATTCCACATTGAAGTGCATCCTTTCAAGCTACCTCTACCACTTGTATGAGCCAAGAATAATTTGGCTGAAATCAGCACAATTAAAGCTGGGGTAAGGGAGAGGAGTCAAGGCTGTTTCACTCAAGCATTGTTTGGGGTTTTTTTGCATTAGACCTTGCAGTTCATTGATTGGAAGCATTATTAAAATTCAGTGGAATATTCCAAAAGGGAAAACAATATACAGTGCTTTCAAAGCCTAGCCTTTACATTTTCAGAATGTAAATAATAAAACTCTATTTTCCTGTGGAAATATCTTGCTATAATTTGTTTTCTGAGCATAAGGCTTTTTCACAAACAGCAGCAACTGTAAACTGATTTATATCAAAGGATTAAAAAAACCCAAAGCGTAGAAACAACAAACAGAACCAAAACCATACCTCCAAGGGGTACATCATTATCAATATCATGTTTATCCTCAGATAGTGGGAAACTCAGCAGTTTGATTGAATTATGCCTTTTGTTTCTAATCTTCAGCAGCTTCCAGGTGGTTCACTTACTTTTAACCCACTCCAGCAGCAGCCGCTGTCACAGTTTTCTCCACAGCAACAATCTCAGCAACTTACAACCTATAGTCCTCAGCAACAGGGAGAACAGGTGTGTGCTAACAGCCCTCAGCCTGGGGTGCATGGACCAAACAATTTCTCCTATTCTCCCCATCTCCACAAGTAAATGAGCCTTTACCCAGTAGATCTGAAGCAGAGGGGAGGAAAGTCTTCCTCCAAATGCTTCTCAAACTGCAAAGACTGCAGTGCCTTTGTTGCCATGGCTGGATCTGGATTATTCTCCTTTATTTATATCCTGTATAAAAGAGCTATAACAAAACAACTGGCTAAATACTAACTCCAGCATGAAGAGAGGTGTAAAATCAGCTTAGTGTTGTCCTGTTTAGAACTAGCTGATGTAGAGATACATCAGATGAATACGTTAAAACCATAATCAGGATAACTACAGAGTAAGTACAAGTTCTTACTTACACTGCTGTGAGCTGGCTTATGATCCTCACCGCTGTAGTTCAGCAGAATTGTTCTCTTTGCACCAGAGGAAGTACCAGTTGGCTTTAAAGCTGTAATCTTAAGACACTTGCTGTACTGCTGCCTGTAAGTAGCATTAAAGGCTTTTTTGTTTGTCATGATAATTTTGCTCATTCTTCTGCAGACTGGTCATAAATAAGATACCTCTTTCTAATGTTTGTATGGCATATGGAATGCAGGACAGTTTAATCGGATTTGTTTGCAGAATACAAATGTCAGTTTCTATTTGAACTACTAAAAAGAAATAATGCAAGCTCATACCATTGGGTTTTATTTTTGAGACATTAAACTTTCAAGGGCATTTACAAAAGGGCTGATGTGAGCCTAGTTCTTCATGTGGCAGAAAGTTCTGGAGGAAATCAGTTTCTGCATTAGCTGACTTGCCCTAACGAACTTCTCTCTTACCACACATTACAGACTAGGACTAGGGTCATGAGCTAAAATGAGCTCAAACAAATACTCAATTCCTTAGCTTTCACAAAGGACAAGAATGTATGTGCTCATCATGCTGTAGTCCAAGTGCTTTGTGGAAAAAACCTATGCCCAAAAAGAGCTGCAGTTTTCCGTGCTGCAAACAGTGTATGTTCTCAACTCGTATTTAGAGTTTTTCCCCAAATGTTAGTTCTGTGACTTTCTAAGTCTTAGTCATCTCCATCAAGATGATGACATCTTCCAAATGTGTAGTCTTTTGGTCGAATTTACTTAGGTCTTAGTGGCATTATTTCATATGGTTATTCTAAAGAAGCATTGCAACTCTGGAAGTGCACCAGTTCAAAAGCTTTTCTTTATTTTCTGACAGATAAACTATGCAGCTTGCTTGAATTACATATGTAATACTTTATTTCCCTACTTATAAATCAGTGCACAATTTAACTTCTAGAAGAGGTCATAATTCAGTACCCTTTGACTTCAGTAGACACTGGCTCAGACTCCACTAATTCCATTTGAATGATTACTGTGAGAACAATTCTGTTCTGAAAATCAAATTTTAAAAGCAGGGTTTATATTATTTATGAAATCAAGGAGTGTGTGGCACAATGTGAACATGGGAATGTAAGCTTCAGACTTGGCACATTTTGACTGACAAAGACCTTTGCACATGGATGGTTTCAGGTGTCACCTGAAGACTTTGGGGTTGGGAGTGGGACAGGAAATTATCGTAAGATTGCAACCATGAACTGTAGTCTCTGCTGGCTCTAGGGAAGTTGACAACTACATGGGACTTCTGCTGGGTGACAGGCATTATACCATTTCTGCCAAAATGGAGCTGGTTTGGGGCATTCAGCATCTGTTTGTTTTACTTTAGTAGTGACTACAACATAGCCTGTATCTACATGTACTGGAAGGTGTAGAATTAAATGGTTTTAAGTGGCACTTCAAAAGCTTGCCTTCACACTGGCTTTATTTACTTATTCGTTGATACCGAAGTTTGGTAATAAGGATCAAGCTTTTCATTTTTGCTAGGGCTCTGACCAAGGTCCATCTACTCAAGATCAGGCATTATCTGCCCAACAAGCTGCTGTAATTAACCTGACCGGAGTAGGGAATTTTATGCAACCTCAAGCCACAGGTATGTGCTTGCTGAGCCTCCTTGTCCAGTGAAGTGCGTGTGTCAATAAATTCACACTGAGATGAAGTTTGGTCTTAAAGAAGTCTTGTGTTACATCAGAACAATTTACTATTTATTGTTGGCAGATGAATTACACAGGAAATACTTCAAAGCATGCACTTTCCTGCTTTGTTTGGCAGTTAAGTGTAGGAAATTGATATCACATGAACATCACACTTAATACAAAAAGAAAATACAGAGAACTTCCATGCCAGACTTCATTGAGGAACATTTCTTTTAACTGTGTGCTTAACATCCAATATGAGAAACCTCTTTGTGTCTCCACAAGCACTTCATAATCTAATTATGTTCTAACTAACAGAGTGTGTAGATCATGGTTATTCTGCACTGTTTCCAATTTAACTCTGAAACTAATCCTCTTGATCCCTCTTTTCTGTTACACTCTATTCCTATGTCTTCCTTCCCTGACCCTGCCAAACTCAACCTGCCCTCTTTGACCTGCCTGCTCTCCCCTTCTCCTTTCTTAGTGTTGTCTCAGCTTGGCTCTGCTGTGAACAGACCTGGGCAAAGCCTTCCTCAGCAGAGATTCCAGCTCTCTTCTGCCTTACAACAGCAACAACAACAAGCCTTGCAGCAGCAGCAGCAACAGATACAAGTAATCCAGCAACTTCACTCTGTGTTTTAAAAAAATAATAAAGATTTAAAAAATACAATTCTCAGCTCCAAAATGAAACAAAAATTTACCCTATTTTGACTTTTATTTTTAAACTAATGTCCTTACTTATGATCTGGCAAATGAAAAACACGTGGATTTTGCAAACTGTCGTGGAAGATTTAAAATCTGGTTCTCTCAGCTTGGAGCACTGAATTTATTTTTATTCATTTAAGCCATCCACCTTCCCGATTTGCTAACATTCAAGGAGTGCTTGTGGCACACACCTAAGTGAGCTCTGCCAGGTGCCAAGAGATTTGAAAATAGGGTCAATGTAAGTTTGAATGTAGCACTGCTGTGGTCAGTATGTGGAAGTGACAGCTCTGGCCAAGCAATCCTTTAGCTCTGTTTTTCAGCTGCTTTATGAAAATATGGTAATACTTTTTTAGCACACAGCCTCCTCTTTGTGATACATGTAGAAAATACATACAATGCATACACTGAGAAGATATTACATTAAAATATACTATGTAACCCAAACATTCATTGAAGTTGCTGAGTTACTGCAGTTACTGCGATGGAGAGAAAGGGCAAAGAAACAAAGCTGCCAAAAACATGTGTGAAATGTTAGATATGCCCTCAGCAGGCTTCTGTGCCACTGGTGCTGCTTGACTGTACTCATTGCCCCAGCACATGGTGTATTCCTTTTGTCAACCTGGTGCTTCCTCTTTTGTTTTCTTTCCTTTTATTCCACACCCCTTCCTCTCATTCTTCCTGATGTGAAACAAAGCTTTAACGTCAACACTAACAAGCATTTTCTCCCCCTTCTCCTTCATGGCAGCAGTTGCGATTCTTGCAGCATCAAATGGCTATGGCAGCAGCAGCAGCACAAGCAGCTCACCTGCGGCAGCAACAGCATTCAGGCAGCCACTCAAAAAGTAAAAGGAAAAGAGGCACACTGGCCCCTCCACAGTCCTGAGACTTGCTCTCCCCCCAGTACAAAACTGTTTCAGAGGGGATTGTTTTTTCTTTTTTTTTTTTTTTTCCCAATTTAAAAAGGAGAAAGCTTAAAATCAATTCAGTTTTATATCACTGGTGGGAAAATGAACTCTGACATTACACTGAAATAAATTAACTGGTTGTGGAAGCCAGCCCTCCAGAACTTGGAGATTTCACCTATAAAGCAGCTAGTCTGGTTTCCTTAAATCACTTAATTTTTTAACAGAATGTTCTTGTATTTTTTACCACTCAGCAGCATTGTACATAGTATAAGGGTGACAAGCATTTTAGAAAAAATGAACTTTGTAAATGTAGTATTGGTATTTGTTTATTTAGTATGAAAGGTTTGTGAACACTGTAACAAATACAATTTTTACCAATCCATTTTCAAAAAGATCTCTCCTTTTGTTCACTTGGGCGTAATACTTTTTATTACTTTGTCTATCAGCTTCTTTACTTCTTTCTGTCTTGTAATTGCTCTGGTGATACAGTCCTGAAGCTTGGCTCCTGTGAGAGGACTGCCACCTAAAAATTAAAGGAAACAAGCATTTTCTACTAATACTTCAGTTATGTATCTCTAAATGTATTTTCCAAATGAGCACATTAAGTAATACAGTAATTCTCATGACCAGCAACTTTCACCTGGGGAGCACATGGCAAAGAAAACAGAAACAAAGTAGAGGTATAACAGGAGACATACTCAAAATCTGCCCTGAGCTGTATGTAGGTCAAGCTGTGACTTCCTGAACTTCAGGCATGCCACCTTTTTGAAAAGGAATTTCAAGAGCAAGTCATTTAATAAGTCAAGTGGACAGCGTTCTCATGAAGCACCTACATTTTACAATGAAAAGCAGGTACCTAACATCTAGGTCAAGGAAAAATTATTGTCTCCATAGGTTCTTGTGTAGTGGAAGTACCTGGTTTGTGGACAGAACAGAGTCTGTCGTCTTCATCAGTTACAACAGTCACTGTTCCAGTTGCTAAGTCTTCTTCTTCAGCATTTGGATCAACAATGAGCAGTGTGCTTGTGAAAGAGACATATGCAGAGGCATCAGTGTATTACTGCAAAATACACATAACATTAATTTTTACTGTAGTCTTTTACAAAATACTATTAGGTGGATTTAGTGCTCAGGGTTGTCTGTTTTCTTACCAAAATGCAGTGATTTGAAAAAAAAAAACACAAACAAACAAACAAACAAAAAATGTGGAAGATTCCACATATTCATGTGCATGTGTCTTGTAATACCAGCTGCTGAAAGTACAGCTTTATGCCAAAGTATCAGAGATCCATGACACCCAATTGCATGAAAATGCCATTAAACTGCCACTTGCAGTCACTTTGTAGTCATGCAAAGACAATGGCGTTGCTTTTACGTATAGGCTGCACTCATCTCTACCAGACCTTAAGGCAAAGCTCACTTCCAATGGCAAATTCACCGGAGTAGTTCTCAGTTTCTTGTCAGAAAACTTTCAACACCAGACTAGGAACAGTCACAACTGGATTTACTGGGTTCCTTAAGGCAGCCAAAATAAGCTGTCACACATGATATGACGCACACCATTAAGAGAGATTAAATATTGATACTTTGAACCATTTAAGTTAAAAATAGAGCAAACCAATGGTGGGGGGGGGGAGAGGGGGAAAGAGGATCTAATCTACAAGCCAACTGCACAAGAAAATTTTGACCTCAAAGCTGAAACTTAAAACATCACTAACAGTTTCAGATTGCCATTTAATAGCAGTGATGTAATGAAAACGTAAGTCCTTCTCTACCCTACTCAAAAATACTGCTATACTGATTCTGTCCGTGTACTGTGCAGCATCAGCTATTTGCGTGATGCATAGAGGGACCTGGCACACACGGAGAGTTGTGCCAGGTCAGACTCATTATCTGCACAGGTTGCTGCCACAGGAGCCCGTGGTGGAGCTGCACAGTGCTATGCACCAGCAATCCTCACCCACCGCCACACGATCCAGCAACCCAGGAGTTTTATTGATTCAAGGAGGGCTTTTATGCAGAAGAAAAATGTCTCTGGAAGCCAGAGTATGTAAAACACATTCTGTAGAGGGCTGTGTCAACAGATGTACAATAACTAATAAATGGGAATTTAAAACCCAGAACACACAAACCACAAACCACAGGCACTCATACGCACACCCACCCTCAATATTTAGCTTTAGGAGCTAACGGGAGACTTGGGTAACTTGTTTGATGCAACAGCTGGTTTCAGTGAGGGACAAAGCCCAACACTCATTGAAAGCTTTCTTCCAAAGGCACCATTTTTTTCTACTGGCAAGTACGTTTGTGAGCTGTGTGCAAATAATACCCTGCTGACGATGTCTGCCCATGGTGCTAGCCGAACTCTAACTTCCAGCCTACATCACACTTCAGACCCACAAGAACTGGTATTAAAACAATTAACAGAAGTACTCTAAAGTAATGATCACTTTCTGCTTTTATTCATTTTGGTAATCACTTGATCAACATTTGAGTTCAGTGCTCCCTACCCCCCATCTCCTATGTGAATGAAAGAGCCTATTAATCATCTCTGCATATACAGATTAATATGCTATAAACCCCCGAAGTCTCTAAACATACCTAAATCTTCAATCAATCAGACTCGTAGCACAGTGAACATCATCTCATTTGTCATTTTCTACTTTTCAAATGGATGCCACCACAAATCCATGCATTTCTTGTAAATGGCAGCAGAACAATACTTAACACATCTGGACTAATGAAAAGCCAGCAAACAATTTCAGGTAAGGAGTCAAGTTACTAGATATGGTTATTCTTAAGTCTTACAAGATCCTTTATCTACATGAACAATGACTTAAGAGTGTTGGTCAGACTTCATCTTGGGTAATTATGTTTTCAGCTATCCAAAGGTTATGTTGTTCTTACAGACTATTACTTCCTCTGTTAACCAAGTCCTTGATACATGCTGTTCAAGAACTACCATCTTGTGTATCAGTTATTTACATAGGTTTCTAAAGCATTAATTCTTCCTTCTCAGATACTGCAAAAACATAAAACTTATTCCTGTACTTTCAAGTGTATCTTTTAGGTTGGGAACCAGTTATGTCTTAAGGAAGAAGTTGGACAAACTGTTCTGTTATTCTGCACACTTGCTCATATTGCAGAACTACTGGGCAGTTCAACAAGAGAGGCTGCGGATTTCAGATCAAGTGAAACCGCACTGCCAGAGGCTGCATGTACTTCACTAGCAGAAGAGCACAAACATCATCGGTAGCATCCTCTGTCTTTCACTTCTTTTACATAAGTACAAAACGGTTATGAACTTACTCATCAAATACAGCAAATGACGTGGCAACTGGATGCTTTCTAATCATCAAAGGATTCTTCTGTTTAAAATTAACTTCTGATAAACCGGTTTCTTCGTTTATAGTAACTGATGGCAGTTGTACTGAAGAGATGAAAAATGACAATGGTATAACATTAAACACTGATGGATTTAGTAGGCCTAAAGATGTCGAAGACTAACAAAATATTTAAACTGCTCTTCTAAGCCACTGAAAATTGATCAGAGTAAGAGTTTTGGCTACAGTACTGGTGTTCTGTACAAAAAAAAATTACTGAATTTGAGGACAATATTTATCTTACAACTACCTGGCCAAGGAATTATTTAATTTATCTCCTCAAAGAGAACATCCTTCCTTGCACGGAAGCATCACTTGCTTCCAAAATGCCATACAACTACATTACTTTAGAGCCATATTTAACCAAAAATATTGTTTTCAAAAAAAAAAAAAAGTCTACTGGACATACAAAAACTAGGAATATAGTCTCATCTCATGAGTTTTATGTATCTGTAGAATCAGTGAATCTGATCTTCAGGTAACTCTCGCTCTGAAAATGAGAACCATAGTGTTGGGAGATGGAAATCAGGAGCAAAGCAGCTTTAAGAATTCAAAAGGCAAGCAATTCACAGCTGGAAAAGGAGGCCTTGCTGAAAGCTCCCCTTTACTCTGGCTCCTATGTGCATTTATAAGCCACATACCTGTGAATAATCAATCCACATGCTGCAGGCATGAAAACTTTTTTTTCAAACTATAGCACATTAAGCTTGGAATACTCTCTTGTTGAGAGAATATTTGTGTAAGCAAAGCCCCCAACAACATCTGCCTACACAAAATACATTAATGAGGTAAGAACCTGTTCCAGACATTAAAGTTGTTTATGGCCACTGCTGAAAGTTTCAGCTCTCTGACATGGCAGAATACAAGGCAGAACAGCAGTTAGTCTTGTAAGAGAGGAGTAATACACATACAAACGGCTCCCACTCCTCAGGTGTTACACATCTATGGCATCCATACCATCATGTCCACCTGGGAGTTGCATTTTAATAATTCTGCATTCAAATGACAGGAACCAAGCAGTTCCTTAACTGTGATTCAGCTACCTATTCATCATGACTCAAAACTAACATTTCTCCAAGCAACACTAATCTGAGCGTGTCTCTTGCTCTAGAGAGTACTTACCATTTTTTAATGCTGCCAACAAAGCGAAGGCACTGGCATCCAAAAGGTTTCCATCGTAGTCCAGACATATAATATCACAGTATAGCACCCAAACAAGCTACCAAAAAAGGTTTGTACATGTGAGATGCTACAGCAGTTAAGCAAATGGTGCAAAATCTGAGAAAATGCTGGCTATGTGACCAAAGATACTTACTTCTATTGTACAATTCCTACACTTCAGATGTAAACCAAGCTATAAAGACTAAAAAGCAGCAACAACCTGCTTTTGTATGTATGTAACCCCAAATACCTTAACTTCTCAACACTGATTCCGTTAGTACATCTCTCTTCACTGTGAGACATAACTTACCTTGCCGTTTGCAATACATAAGTCTTCTTTTTCTATTATCTGTGAACTGAAATAAAATGAGACTGTAAACCAGGAAACAGAAAACTGTCTTGCTGAGTTGTGTTTTAAGTGCACTAAGATTGTTCTTACTTTTCAATCACATCTGCAATGAACTGGCTTGCTGCTTGAGCCTCTTCACCAGGAGGGCCAGAGCGAAACCTCGGTGAGCAGAGGGACGGTAGTTCTACGTTTGGAACTAAGTAACAAGAACCATTAGTCATAAGCTAAAGCAAGCAAGCAGTGGGATATCAAAAACAGAAATAACAGTATATACATTCTTAATCCATTTCATGTCTTCAAATTAAAGGCAATTTTTCAATCAAGTCTTCCTACTTCTCTCAAAAATAAAATTAGGCATGAATTTGTATTAAAGAACTTGCAAAACTATGTACTCAGGAACTATATAGTCCACAGAGAAGCACATACTCCTAACTACCACCTTCTGTGAGCAATCCTGCTATGAATATGACCCCACACAAACAGTTCCTTGAGTGTTAAGCATTCTTAAGCTGAGCAAGAAACAACAGCATTTTCACACTACTGCCTGACTTTACTGGTATGCCATCTGCTTTTCATCAACCATTAAAACCTGATGCTTTAGACTTGAAGCAAAACCAGGCATAAACATTTGTGAGAAAAATGAAAACAAACACCTAAGCACAATCAAGCTTACTGAAAACAACATACTTCAGCGATGCCTTATAAAAACGGAATTTGTCTAAGCTCTCAGTTCCCACAGAATTACTCTATTTCAAAAGAACCTCCAAACAGGGGTGAACACGTGCCCCTGGGACTTCCACAGTTCTTCCAGAAATAAACAGGGTTTATGTCACCTTGCATGCCACAGTCTTTCATATGAACTGCCTTCCCCCTTTTAAAATACATACTTCCTTCTGGCGCAGGTTTGTTTTCAGCCTGGCCCGGAATCAGCAGTAAGAAGGTAGCTGTGGATGGAAATTTCACAGGAGCAGCAGGGGGAATTCTGACATTTCTGAAAGACCGCTGCTTATACGTCAACTTGGAAACTGACTTTAAGTAAGACAATTTTACCCAAATTCATTCTTCTTTTAAGAGACCTGAAAAGCTTACCAATATATCCCTTATTAGCAGAATCTTCTGTGGGTGTAGCAAGTTCCTGTGGAAACAAACAAACAAAAAGAAGACAAAACCTAAGAGATTAATTTTGTACAAAAATATTTTCCAGCTATTCTGTAAAGAAACAGTCATTTTCTTGCCAGTTATCATTACAACGAGATTTACAAGAGCCACTTTTATAAGTCCCTGTCTGTATTTTTCCTATATGAAAACTCAATACAGGGACGTGCAGTGATTTGTCTCACAGCTCATGGCAGTCCAGCAGTAAAGTTGAGGCTACAAGACACTTAATAATCCAGCCAGCTAATTACCAATGCACTTATTGATCAAGATTCAGTAACTGCTCAACTATAGAACTTTTATCTAGAAAAAAAGACTTGATTTTTGTATATATCTTTCCCCATACATAATATACACCACAAAAATGCACATTCTCAGACTATACAGGTAGGATGAGACAATTCCATGTCTGAAACCAAGGTGAAAGACTGTAATTGTGTCTGACTGGTATATTATTGTAATTCTACAGGACACACATTCTAAACACAAATGCACAAGTTCAGCTAACAGCTAAATTAAAACAAAAAACAACCATACCGCTTTAACTCCACAAATCACTGTAGTATTTCCAAACTTCACCAGGGCAGAACCATCTGCAGTTGTAATTGAACCTGAAGAGAGAAAGCGCTGTTAGATAAAAATATATTTTCCCATTCAGGGGGCCTGTCCTGCGTTCAGCTACAGCAGTCAATTTTTCTCCTTC